AAGCTTCGCGGCAAGGCCTCGAATTTGAAGCAAAATTGCTTCCGGGGCGATGAGCTGGAGGGGCAGGAGGCGCAGGGGGGCCAGGAGATGGAGCGGGGCGGCGAAGGGAGGAGGGGGAAGAGAAAACCTACTTCGTTTACTCCCTGCTCGGTATCCCCCTGCCCCCCCCTCGCCCCTCTCCTTTCAGCGCCCCTCCTGGCGCCCCTGCTCAAGTGCCCCTCCTTCGAGGAAGGGGGAAGCGCATGGGAGGCTCTCATCCTGCTCCTCATCCCCAGACCTCCGACGGTAACATCGGTCCAATCACCTCTCGACCTCCCCCCCAGGAGCAGCGACCGAGCAGAATTGCGGAGTGGGTCGAGTGCATCTGGGGCCCGAAAAAGAGCGCGCCACAAGCATAATCAAGCAGCTGACGCAAATACCGGTTGCATCTGCGCGCGCGCATCCGCGGACACCCGCTTGCCGGAGGCAGCGAGGCGCGCGAGACGATCGGCTGCCCCCCCCCGCCCCCTCTTCCAAGGTTCAGAAAGCCGTCTGGGGGGGAAAGCGGGCAGGGGGGGGCGGGGATACGGGGGGGGTGGGGGGGGCGTCACCCCAGGAACTCCCGGGGCCTTTCCAGAGACCCAAGACGCCGCAAGACGGCCCGAAGGGGGCCCAACGGAAACGCCAAGACAGCCCACGAAGGCGTCGCGAAGCCCAAATCATCCACGCGGCGATCACAGCGGGCTTCAGGACGGTCCACAACGCGCCCAAGACGGTCAAATAATTCTCCAAGAAGGCCGCAGGGAAGGCCCTTGGAGGGAAACGCCCCGTTCCCGCGGGGAAGCGCGCACGTGCTGCACGCGCGCCCCCTGCATCTTGAAAGCGTCCAGCAACGCCCAAAGGGCGCCCAAGATCGCCCCGCGTTCGTCGCAAAACGGCCTAGGAGGGTTCCAGGACGGCCCCGACGGCTCCCAGACGGCCAAAGGGCGCTCCCAGCCGCCCCCACGACGCCCCAGGAGCAGCCCAGGCGGCCCCAACGAGGCCCCGCAGAAAACACCAACAGTCCCACAATGCTGCAATAAACTCCCCAGGAGGCTGCCGAACTAAAAGCGCCACGAGACTCCAACATGCCCCCAACATTTTACGGCCGTAAATTGTGTTGCTCTGGTTGTTCGTTGGGCCGGCGGAATGGCGCCAATCGCGAGCATGTGTACATGTACGTATGTATGTAGATAAATACATACATGCACACGCGCATACGGGCATACATGCACACTCACATTCACGCATGACAGCACACATACATACACGCCAACAAGTGTACATGTATGAATATGTATTACAAATGTGCAGGTATGTATGTATGTTTGTTTGCGCGCAAGCATGGTTGCATGCGCGTGCATGCGAACCTTTAAAGAGTATGTAGTACGTACATAAGTATACGCTTTTAATCGCACATGCAGGTTTAGAATTAAATTCGCGCGTGGGGCGAGGCAGAAATTTGCGGCGGCAGTCCTGATATCGCACGTTTCCCCTGGCCATTGCGCGCTGACCGAAACGCGCGCGCCGCGCGAGGGGGCGGCACGCGCGCCGAATGAGCGCTCGATCAAGAACTCGCCGCGCACTGGGAATGCGCTCCAACGGCTGCGCAGGCGCCAGCGACGCGAGCGCGCCCGGCACACCTTGAGAAAGGATTTGGGCAACTTGGCGAGCGGAGGGCGGCAGTGGGCGGGCAGATAACCGCTGCCAAGCACCCTTGACATCGGCCAATGCGGCGCTTCTCGACCCCGCCCCACTGCGCCACTCATCTACCGTAAACGTTTTTATGAGCGGGGCGAGGTTGGACTCTGCGGCAACAGTTTTGACGTCGCGGGCTGTCCTCTGGCCATTGCGCCACGATAGAGACGCAGATGCGAGGGGGCGGCACTCGCCCTAAACGCGCGCTCGAATAAGAACTCGCTACGCACTGGGAATGCGCTCGAATCGCTGCGTAGGCGCCCTCGACTGGCGCGTCTTCAACCGAACCTCTCCTGGCGCCAGCCAACATCTTCTCTCGCCCGAACGACACCGGATTGCGCCCGCGAGCGCAAAGAGGACGAACAACGGCGAGCGAAACTCACCTCTGCCAACATGGCAGCACCATGTTCCACGTCAATCTCAGCTGCGCGGGCGGAGCTCCGCCTGTCCCGGGGCGCCACCTCGGCGAGATCGCTAACGGCCAGAATCTCGCGAGAAGCGCCTCCGAACCTGCGGCTGCGCGACGAGACACGCGGATGAACGCAGCCAATGCTCGCTACCCCTTCCCGGAAGGTGGCACAGAAGGCCCGCGGAGTGTCAGGCCCCAAACTGCCGGCGCCGTCGAACGCGAGCTGGCGACGCCGCCAGACCCGCGCATAAGGGTCGTCTGCAGCCACGTTGTCTCGAGCGCCTTTCTGGGCGGCTGTCCTGGTCCACGGGGGAAGGGCGACCCCTCGGCGCTCAGGCCCGATCTGGGCGTTCGTTCGATTTAGACCAAGCATCTCACCTGTTCTGAGGCACAAGTGAAAGCCTGTCAGCACGCGCGCAGCGAACGCTGGGTGGCCACGCGCACTCCCCCCTGCCTGCACAAGCGGCAGCTAGCTGACATCGGCGGCGCCTGGCTAAGGGCCTCCAGGTAGCCCCGCGGGGAGAGAAGGCGCCGCCGAGAGGGGCGAAGCAAGTGCTGCTCGCCGCGACGCGCATCGTGGACTCGGCCCGCGGTGGCTCCGATTCCGCAAAAGTGCTCACGATAGTCATGTAAACGGAAAGGCATGCCATCCCACGCGGCAGATGGCGAACAAACCATCAACGAGCCGCTGGCATGTGCGCTTGCACCCGACATGCGTTCCAGGATGCGCTCTCGCGTCAGCTGGGCGCCCAGGTCCCCGCCGCGCCAGCTGCGCCAACAAGACGTCGACGCGGCACGGCGAAACGGGCGGGCAGCGGCAGCGCAGGCGCCCTCCGCGCACCATCTCCAGCGCGCCCAGCAGCGCGAACTGCCGCGCAAGCCAGCTGGCGCACAGCGCCGCAGCGTCTGCGGGCCGCCGTCCGAGCTCCACGGGGAAGTAGTTCCTCCGCGCCAAAACATACATACATGCAAACACATACTTACATACATACATACACATATACATACATATATAGATATACACGTACGTACATATATGCGCATGCATGTATACGTGCATGCAGGCACGTATGTTTACATACGTGCAGTAATACATCCATGCATTCACACATGCGTGCATCCAAACATGCGTACATGCATACACACATATATACGTACATGCATACAGACATGTATACATACTTCGCATACGACATGTCTACATACAACAATCGATACAGCGATGCATACAGAGATTCCTACATACATGCATGCATGCATGCGTGCATATGTACATTCGTACATGTATGCATACATACTCTCACACAGCTACACTCACAGGCACATACATACATGCATGCGTGCATACATAGACACATAGACACACACACATGCACATACATACATACACAGGTATGCATACATGCATACGTACATGCATATATAGTTACACCCACGTACACACATACACATACATACATTCATAAATGCATACGTACATACATGCATGCATGCATGCGTACACAGACACATCTGTATACATATATATATATATATATATATATGTGTGTGCGTACGCATCGCGAGTTCTGGGTCATGCGTCCTCATCCTCCAAAGATCTCTGGAGCCCCCAAGGGTCCTCGATATGCCCTGAGATCTCTGGAGGCTTCCAGTAGCCCCAAAGGACCCGAGCATGTAGAACACATGAAAATCGAATGGCAAATTGATGTTTACAACCCGTGGCCCCTAAGACTCCCGACCCCTTCCCAAGGACTGGCTATTCAACCAAATTTGTTCCCTACCTAGGCTCTGCCTAGAAGGGTTCTTACTCTCTATCTCAAAGGGGCCGGGCAGAGGAACCCGCCCCGGGCGGTCCTCCCGGTCCCCTGGGAGCCAAGCAAAAGCAACAGCAAAGGTAAAAGCAAACGCGCGGTTCCCCCAGTTGCGCTCCCTGGGTGCCAAGCAAAAGCAAAAACAAAGGCAAAAATGAAGGCAAAAGCGAAAGGCAAAGCAAAAACATAGCATAGCATAACATAGCGCAGCATAGCATAGCGCAGCATAGCATAGCGCCGCATAACATAGCCTAGCCTAGCCTAGCCTAGCCCAGCATAGCATTGCGCAGCATAGCATAGCATTGCATAGCATAGCATAGCATCGCATCGCATAGCATAGCATAGCGCAGCACAGCATCTACTATTGCTGCTGTTATGTATATATATGTACTTATATATATAGATGTGTGCGCACGTATGTTCCATGGAGGAGAAGAGACGGCGTACTTATATGCGTGTCTACGACGATGAGGAGAAGGAGGAGGACGGCGTTTACCGCTCCTACTAATGTTGCTTTCCTAGAGGCTCCAACTCCTAGGTAGGGTTGCACTGGGATAATTTTGAGAATCCTGGGGGCCCAGACCAAGCGCCAAGACGCCGGAAATGGCGAGAACGTCCGCATTCATCCTCGCCTTATTCAAAACGCTCAGTCGTGGATCCCCCACAGCTCTCCAGGAACGCGTTCTGGCCAGAATTATGTGGCAGATCAAGCCGTGGCGGCGAGAAGCCTCCAGCAGGCCGAACAAATATCGAGAAAAAACGAAGAACTCGGCCATCAAACTTCGACCCTCGATGTCGAGGTCCACGACGATGACCGAAATCCATTCAAAATCCAAAACCCGAACCTAAACATCTCTGGGGCCCAATCCTGAGAAGTGATTCGTCCCAGATCGGTTTTTGATGGTGTCAGGGCCCGACAAGGTCCCCCAGATGCCAGAGGAAGCGAGGAGCCCTGTCTCGATCCCCGATTCTTATCCGAGATATTGAGCCTCGAGCCTCGAGCCTCCTGGATCTTGCTGCTTGTTCTCCTCGACCCTGGTCACGGCCCCGCTCGGGGCCCGAGCCTCCAGGAAGCACTCCTGCTTCCCGGCCAGCGTCCGTCGGTAGAGCACCCGCCAGTGATTCGCGCCCTGGGCATCCAGGCACCTGGCAGGGCGAGCGTCGAGGATCGAGGAGAGGCTCTGGGATGGGTTCGGGGGTAGAGTAGGAGGAGGATAATAGGCAGGATGAGCACGATCATAACTAGCAGGACAGCAGGAGCGTAGAATGGAGGAGAAGGAGGAGGAGGAGGGATGAGGAGGGATGAGGAGGAGGGGCAGGAGGAGGAGGAGGAGGAGGAGGAGGAGGAGGAGGAGAGGCTCTGGGATGGGTCTCGGAGGTAAGAAGGGCTCCCGCGGGGCGCGCTCGGGGCCACGGCTGGAGGCAGCCCGGACGGCCGGCCTGCATGCCCGCAGGAGGGGTCCAGGGACCGCTTTTGGACAGAGACCTCGCTGCGACATGTCCCGCGGAGGGAGGACTCATGCCCCCTTCTCGTCCTCCTCTTCCTCCTCCTCCTCCTCTTCGTCCTCGTCCTCGTCCTCGTCCTCCTCGACGTCGTCTTCTTCCTCCTCCTCCTCTTCCTCCTCCTCCTGCTCTCTCCCTCCAACTCTCAGTGTCCTCATCCCCTTCCTTATCGGCAACTCCTTCCTGTCCCATCCCCATCCGACGTGTTGGTAGAGCTGGCCGGCGGCTTCGCCGGATATCCCCTCACCACAAATGGTCCTGAGGATTGACATGCGCAGTAGCTCCACGGATGGGGGGTGTCGTTGTCAGAATAGGTCTCTCCCTGTAGGCCCGCGGGCACTTGTCTTACACGTCCGCAAAGGTGTCAACGATGGAGGGCTGATTCTTTTCAAACTGGGGCTGTCGCCTAGCGCTGCACAAGTTCCTCTTTAAACGCGTGCAACAATGACAAAGATGGATGGCAATTATCAAAATGGTGCCCTCGCTTTAGCGCCGCGCACGTCCGGCTTAAACGTTTGCAACAGCTACATGAACTGAGGGCGGTTCTTCTTCAAAACGGGGCCTCGCCTTAGCGCCGCTCACCTTCGTCTTGAAAACTTACATCCAGGACAACGTCGGAGGGCGGCCCCTTATCAACATTATCCTGGCGAAGGTCCCAACCATATGCAGTTGTGGGTACCGTACTTGTAAATATCTGCTTCGGTGAAGCTCCCTATGGGGCCACGAAGCGCTGCACTGGGCGGGGGGGAAGTGGTGTGCCGAATTGGGTTTCCGGGACGCATGCGAACGGTCCCACTGAGGGCTTCGGTGGAGCTCCCTATGGGGCCACGAAGTGCTCTACTGAGCGAGTGAAAGTGCCAAATTGGGTTTGCGTGACGCATGCGGGCGGTCCCACTGGGGGCTTCGGTGGAGCTCCCCATGGAGCCACAAAACGGTGCGCTGCGCGGGTGAAAATGCCAAATTACATTTCCCGGACGCATACGGACGGTGGCACGGGGGCCTTCGGTGGAGCCCCCTATGGGGCCACGAAGCGCTGCACTGGGTGGGTGACAATGCCAAATTGGGCTTCCGGGACGCATGCAGACGGGGGCACTGGGGCCTTCGGTGGAGCTCCCTATGGGGCCACGAAGCGTTGTACTGGGTGTGCGGGACGCATGCGGACGGTAGCGCTGGGACCTTCGGTGGGGCTCCCTATTGGGCCACGAAACGCTGTACTGGGCGTGCGGGACACATACGGACGGTAGCACTGGGACCTTCGGTGGAGCTCCCTATGGGGCCACGAAACGCTGTACTGGGTGGGTGAAACGCAGGGAGGAGGGGGAGGAGGGCCACGAAACGCTGTACTGGGTGTGCGGGACGCATGCGGACGGTAGCACTGGGACCTTCGGTGGAGCTCCCTATGGGGCCACCAACCGCTGTACTGGGCGTGCGGGACGCATGCGGACTGTAGCACGGGGACCTTCGGTGGAGCTCCCTATGGGGCCACGAAACGCTGTACTGGGTGGGTGAAACGCAGGGAGGAGGGGGAGGAGGGCCACGAAACGTTGTACTGGGTGTGCGGGACGCATGCAGACGGTAGCACTGGGACCTTCGGTGGGGTCCCTATGAGGCCACGAAGCGCTGTACTGGGTGTGCGGGACGCATGCAGACGGTAGCACTGGGACCTTCGGTGGGGCTCCCTATGAGGCCAATAAGCGCTGTACTGGGTGTGCGGGACGCATGCGGACGGTAGCGCTGGGACCTTCAGCTCCGTATGGGGCCACGAACCGCTGTACTGGGTGTGCGGGACGCATGCGGACGGTAGCACTGGGACCTTCGGTGGAGCTCCCTATGGGGCCACGAAACGCTGTGCTGAGTGGGTGAAACGCAGGGAGGAGGGGGAGGAGGGCCACGAAGCGCTGTACTGGGTGTGCGGGACGCATGCAGACGGTAGCGGGGACCTTCGGTGGAGCTCCCTATGGGGCCACGAAGCGCTGTACTGGGGTGCGGGACGCATGCGGACGGTAGCACTGGGACCTTCGGTGGGGCCCCCTATGGGGCCACGAAACGCTGTACTGGGTGGGTGAAACGCAGGGAGGAGGGGGAGGAGGGCCACGAAACGTTGTACTGGGTTTGCGGGACGCATGCGGACGGTAGCGCTGGGACCATCGGTGGGGCTCCCTATGGGGCCACGAAGCGCTGTATTTGGCGTGCGGGGCGCATGCGGACGGTAGCGCTGGGACCTTCGATGGAGCTCCCCATGGGGCCACGAAACGTTGTACTGGGTGGGTGAAACGCAGGGAGGAGGGGGAGGAGGGCCACGAAACGCTGTACTGGGTGTGCGGGACGCATGCGGACGGTAGCACTGGGACCTTCGGTGGAGCTCCCTATGGGGCCACGAAACGCTGTACTGGGTGTGCGGGGCGCATGCGGACGGTAGCACTGGGACCTTCGGTGGGGCTCCCTATGGGGCCACGAAACGCTGTACTGGGTGGGTGAAACGCAGGGAGGAGGGGAGGAGGGCCACGAAACGCTGTACTGGGTGTGCGGGACGCATGCGGACGGTAGCAAGGAGGAGGGGGGCAGAGAGGAGGGGAGAACGCGGGGACCGTTCTTCAAAACGAGAACCCAACACCACAGGATGGTTGAGAACAATGCTCTTCCCTAATCGCCGCGCACATTGCTCTTCAACGGTTGCAACACTCACAGAGATGGAAGGCGGATGTTATCCAAAGTGTGCTTCCCACGTAAGACCGGATCAACATAAACGGCCTGAAGGTTGAACATGTGTAACAGATGCGCGGAAGGAGGGCGGCTCCTCTGACAGACTTACGACTTACGTGGACTTCCTCCTCATAGCATAACAGCCAGACGAGTAAATGTGTGCAACCAATACACGCGTGTGAAGGGGGCGGCTCTTGTTCAAAATGGCGCTCTCGTTTGACACACCGTTCAACTTGGTCATCCTACCGTTTCGCATTCATGATGACTCGCTGGAAGTAGGACGCGATGCCGTTTCTATTCGAAACAGGGATCGTGCCTGAGTTGCAGGCCCACACGATGCTCGTTTTCTGAGGGGCGCCGCTTCCTGCGGTGAGACGGAAGGCTTGCAAGTTGCAAGGACTTGTGAGGAGAGAACTTGGGTGAGACGGGACGGTGTACCTCGACAGCGCTAACGCATCCTGAATTTGCTCTGGTCCTCCTCCTCCTCCTCCTCTTCCGCATGATCCAAGTTTATCACGGGACATTCAGGATATCATCGTACTCCTCTTTCTCCAGTTGTCCTCTTCCTCATCCTTGTCCCCTCTCCCACAGATGGTGTATTGCAGCATCCTTGACACATCCAGGATTCGCGCTGGCCTTCCTCCTCCCTCACCTCCTTCAGCCCCACCCCTCAATCCCACATCCGCCTCCCTCAACCCAGTCCCTTCAGATATCTCCGCGTCGCCCGACAACGCAGACCTCTCCTCCTCCTCCTCCTCCTCCTCCTCCTCCTCCTCCTCCTCCTCCTCCTCCTCCTCCATGGAGCAAGACGGAACTACAAGAGGGTCCGCACCAACCCCAGAAATCCCACCAGCCCTCTGGGAGTAGGTGGTTCCGGGAGTTTCCTCTTCCAACCTCCTTCATCCCCTTCGGGGAGGGGTTTACCCCTCCCCCATAACCCCCTCCCCTGGACTTGGACGGGGGGGGCCGCTGGTAGTTAGAGCGTCCAAAACGGCCTCGGCGAGGAAGCCAACATCATCGGTTTACTAGGGTTTTGGCCGATTTTGGAGGCTCCCGAGGGGAGGCGCTAATTGGGGGACCCCCTTCGTTTGATCGATCACCTCCAAGATGGCCCCAAGAGCGCTCCCAAGGCTCCCAAGAGCGCCCCAAGAGGGCCTCAAGAGGCGCCCAGGAGGCCCCAAGAGGCGACCAGGAGGCCCCAAGAGGCCTCCAAGAGTCCCCCAAAATACCCCCAAGAGACCCCCACGAGGCCCCAAGAGGCTCCCACGAGGCACCCAAGACGGTCCAAGAAGCTCCCGGGACCGCCAAGAGGCCCCCAAGACGCCCCAAGAGACCTCAAATAGTATCCCAAGAGACATCCCAAGAGACTCCGCGAGGCATTCAAGAGGCCTTTGACTCTTCTGATCGCCCTTATCCTCCTCCTCCTCCCCCTCATCATCACCATCATCATCATCAGCATCACCATCACCATCACCATCACCATCATCAAGACCACCACCATCATCGTCATCATCAGCATCATCAATATCAACATCAACATCATAATCCGCCTATTCCTCCTCCTCCTCATTCCTCCCTGCCCCACCCTCATCATCCTCCTCCTCTTCCGCCTCCGACTCCTCCTCCATCCCCCCTCCCTTGGGGTACGACGGCCTCCCCAGCCTCTTGTTCCTCTGTATGGTGCCCCGCTTCCATGATCACCTCTACTCGCTTGAGCGTCGTTTCTGGATGGGCTGGTGGGGGTATATTTTTTTACAGCCGCAGGCGGAAGCGCCGGCGGCGAGCAGTCACGGTCGGGCTGCGGCCGCGACTAAATTCCCGGGCGCGCGCGGGGGCCGCGGATCAGGCGGCAAGGGAGGGCGGCAATCCAGGGCGTCTGAGAGGCCAGGCGGTCGTGCAAGCCCAGGGAATCTGAGGGGTCAGTCACCTGAGGCGGTCGTGCAGGCTGCAACCCAGGGAGTCTGAGAGTCAGTCGCCCAGGAGCAGGCCAGGCGCGGCCAAAATGGCGCGCAGTGCGTTCCCAGTCGTGGTCGTGTCGAGACAACCGCGTGGAGGTGGGAAACGAACTCCGTGCGAGAAAGTCAGTCCAGGGAGTCTGACGGGTATGAGCAGACCGAAACTGGTGACGTCGTCCAGCAAGGAGGGAGATTCTGACAGCGCCAGCGAACCGTCGCAGCATCAGAAAACGCACCCGCGGCAGCAGGGTAAGCCGGAGCCGAACTGGCTAAGGCGAGCGACGACCCACTGCTGAACGATGCGCCTGCGTTCAGAGAACCAGCGATCTGGTCTGGACGCAGCAAGGGTACACAGGTAACCACTCTGAGAGAACGCGAGGTCACTCGGGAATGAACGTGCACCGAACAACTATGTGACATAGCGCCAGGCGACCCACACACCCATGTGGGGAAGCGCTGAAGGACAGCAACCGTCGTACACCCAAGACAGCAAGTCCCTCACAATCACAGGGTCCCAGGGAGAAACGCACACCTGAATGCGCAGGAGAGCAATGAAGAAGCCGAGTGCCCGTCATACTCCGAACCGTGCAACGCAGTCAACAGAATGGTGACACACCGCGACGGTGGGCGGCGCTGATCGGGCCACGTCATCTGCCCAGTCGTTGTGGGGCGCAGGCGGACCAGGTGGGCAATCCGCAAGTTCGGCGGGGCGACCCACGGCGCTGGACTGCCCGTACCTCCGTGTCTCGCGTTGCTCCCAGGAGAAAAGAGGTAAGCACCGCTGAAGGCCGTAGTAACTTGAAGATCCCAGGGAGTTGAACGCAGGTCTGGGGACGGGGCGAAAACCGCCAGGTCGTCGGCCAAAGGGCTGCGCGCCAGGCGTGGCCTGGCAGGGTGAAAACAGCTACAGTGGGGACGGGGGCCACTATGGCCACACGCAACAGGAGATTGCAGTGTGGACGGTATTGCTGGCACGCATACCTGGGTCCAAAGGCAGGAAGTGCGTGTACCAGGAGGGGCGGCAGGATGCCGCAAGCTGGTCTGTAGTCCAAGGAGCGGCTGAAGGCCGCTGTCTGATAGAGAATCCCAGGGTGCAAGCACGTCTCGGGAGTGGGCCTCGGTCGGTCCCAGAGCGGCATAGCCGAGCATAGGACCATTCGGGCCACCGGTGAGAACCACTACAGCGTGGCCAGGGGCCAGCTAGGGTCTGCGGGCTACGCTCCCCCGCGCAGCGAAGCAGATGGTATTGCTGGTCGACACACTTGGGTCCCAAGGCAGGAAGTATGTGGACCAGGGAAGGGGGGCTGGCGAGGCGTTTGGCGGGTGGCTCGTCGCGACGCTCCAAGTCCACAGTGCCCAGCCAGACCTTGTACATGGGGCCCCCATGTGAGTCGGTCAACAGGTTGAGCGTATGGCGCTCCGTCGAACGGTAGGTAGGTCTATGTCCAGGGACTTGTGGGTTACGCAGTGGGGGACGACGGGTCCGCGCGTCGCCCCTGTTGTTTGGCACGCGCAGCGCTCAGAACCTCGAGTGCGTCCTCAGCCCGCTCGTACAAGGTGATGGGCCTGTGCCCACGCCCCTGCGCGGGGTCCGTGCCACAGCACTGTTGAAAAATAGCCGGCGGCACGCCAGTCGCATCTGCGCCTGCGGCATTCTCCGAACGCCGGCGGCGCGGACGCAGACGGCAGCCGCCGGCAATCCGCCGTGCCCTCAGGGGGCCTCTCCAATAGACGCTCATCCAAGTGGCCCAAGACCGCCAGGCCACGTGTGACCGTGCAATTCCCCGCACTCCAGCACGAGATTACACGCCCAGATTCGGAGGAGGGAGGACGAGGCCGAGGAGAGGGGCGGCCCGCGGTCGTCCTCGCCGACTGGCCTGGGACCGTCGGGCCACGTCTGACCGTGCACTCCCCGGCACACAAGCACGAACAAACACGCCCCGAATCGGAGGGGGAAGAGGAGGACGACGACGAAGGAGGACGAGGACGAGGAGGGGGGCGGCCAGCGGACGTCCTCGGCAGCTGGCCTGGGACCGTCGGGCCTCGCCTGACCGTGCATTCCCCGGCACGCCTGCTGAAACGAACACGTCCAGAATTGGACGAGGAGGCGGGCGGAGGAGGAGGAGGACGACGACGACGACGAAGGGAAGGAAGGAAGGCGAGCGGTCGCCATCTCGAGGCGTCTGGCGGCGGGGCGGCACCCGGGGACTCGCGGGGCCGCTCCCCCGCCCGGCCAGGACGCGAAACCACTCTCAAGCCAGGGTGGGGGGAGGAGGAGGAGGAAGAGGAGGACGAGGACGAGGAGGGGGGCGGCCAGCGGTCGTCCTCGGCAGCTGGCCCGGGGCCGTCGGGCCTCTTGTATCTGTGCAATCTCCGGCGCACCTGTTCAAACTTACGCGTCCAGAGAAGAGGCCAGCCAAGCCGCACGCGATCCAGGAGCAGGTCACCAGCCAACGTGGCACAAGAGAACTGGGCAGTACCGTTTTCACAAGTATGAAAAACAAAACCAGACAGGTCCAACAGCAAGCAGCAACGACGGGCGAGAACCAGGAGGGAGCGGGCGCAGTGCCGAGCCATAGCCAGGCGAAGGGCGCGTCCACAGGCATCCGACGGCGGACACCTGGGGCCGCACCATTCACACTGCCCACAGCAAGGGACCGCCCCCGAGGGGGGAGGAGAGGCCAAAGGCCCGAGGAGCGGGAAGGGCGAGAGGAGCGAGGGAAGGACGAACGACGAGACGACGACGAAGACGAGGAGGACGACAGCAGGAGGGACCAAGTCTTACTCGTACTACCGAAATCGGCGGCCCTCTCGGAGCCCTCGAGCCAGCCCTGGAGCTCAGAAGTTGGCAGTGGGCCCCGCGTCACGAGCTGCATATGTGATGTTCCACTCCGGGTGCCTCTCCTTCAAGCCCACTGAAGCGACCAGTGCGCCTCGGATAGCTTCAAATTTCACCATGACACAATTTCCAGCACGCCCCTTCGAGAGGATCCTGCACGTGATCACGTGGCCGAAAGCATTGCACTCTGAACGCAACATCTGCCTCGTGAAAGCGACGTCCAACCCTTCGAAATACGTGTTGGAGTGGGGAAAAGTGGTGATCCAAGCATCATGCGTCGTAACACCTGTCACCACAAAGCAAGCACGTACATCTGTAAGTCTTATACGAAAACGGCTGCCAATCACAGACATCCGATCCCCGTGTTCTGATTGCTCACGAAGGTGTGCGTGAATTTTCAGCAGCCTCTCGTCGATGACGTCGTTTGGCGCCAGCGCAGCAGGCGGCTCTCGCGAAGTCGCCCTTGGCCCGTTCCTCCCCAGGGTCGAGGGGGAGGGTGCCTGAGGCCGGACGCGGGCTGAAGCACTGCTGGGCGAGCCCGAAGCAGACCTCGGCGGTCGCCGGCTCGGTGAGCGAGCGCCGTCGCCGCGCGGCCCGGCTGACCTTGGGCGGCGGCCGCGGGCGCCCGCTGGGGCCAGAGTCGCCTGCCCGCGGAAATCGATGGCCCCAGATCGCGCGTTGGTCCCGGCGACAGCATCCAGCACAGACCCCGCAGTAGGGGCAAGCATCGCCGCGCTCTCTGCCAGCAGCCTGCGACAAGGCGTCTGGCACCCAGAGATGCCACTCGCCTTACGTCTCGACGCAGATCCAATTGACGCCCTCGTCGTCGAGATCGCGATCTGGCTTATTGATGGCCCTGGGATCTAAGAACTCCGCGTCGAGTGCCCGCCACGCGAAACGGTCGCCCGAGTCGTCAGTGGTGTACGTCAACCACGCCCTGCACCCAGGAACCCGGCCAACGACGAAGAACTCGTCGGCGCCCTGCCCCGGGAGGCCCACAGTGCAGAAGGTGGGGAGGTCATCGAGCAAGCGCTCGTGCTCCCGCGGCGTGCCGACCGTCAGTCCGACGGCGGGGTCAAGCCTGAGGCCTCGCCCAGGTCGCCTACCAGCGCCCGTGGGAGGGGCGAGCTCCGCAACGGCGTCGACCGCAGCAGTGCCATCGTCCACCACTGCTTGTATCATCGCTGCTGCGGCTGTCACCCCGCTGCCGGTGACGCGCATCCACTGCGGTGCTTGCACGTGCCCGCTGGAGATGGCATCATCACTCGACTGGTCCTCGACCAGCTCCACTGTCGCCCCGCTGGCCCGTTGTATCTGCAGCACGTTGCGCCTACCCTCTCCCAAGACGCGCCCCAGGCTGCGCGGAGGAACGGCCAGCAGAGCATCTCCCTGGCAGTGCGTCGCGGCCGCTGGCGGCAGCGAAGGGGGTGCGCTGCTCGCCCTGCGCGCTGCGAGGCTGAGCTCTATGTCTGGCCGCCGAGCCACTTTGCGGCGCTGCTGAGGGTCCAGGATCTCCCCCTCCACCTCGCGTTTCTCGAGCTTCTGGATGCCCGACAACACGCGCCGCAGACGACTGGCAGACAGCGCGCGCATGCGCTCAGTGACGGGAGCCTGGTCTGGGGAGGGATCGTGTATCTCATTGAGCGCGTGGTGCAAGTCGGAGCCTGACTCCCAAATCGCTGCCAGGGAACATCCAAGGGTAGGTCTCAAGGCGAGGTCGTCCACGTGCGGCGCCAGCATCCCGTCGTCTGCAAAGCCGTCCGAACGCATATGGATGCCACGCGGCAGCGCGACTCGCCAAGCCCCCGTCTCTCCAGCCAGCACCAGCTCCCGGTCGTGCGGCCGCGTGCCCATGAGGCCCAGCCGCTCCGCTTCTGGGATGTACCGGATATCTTCAACCCGGTCGGCCTGGAACTGGATCCGGCGAGTCGCGAGCATGCGCCGGATCTTGGCCATCACCCGCTCGTCGGCGGCATGGCTGGTCACCAGCCTGAAAGCCACCATGCCAGGGATGGATGCCAAAAAAGCCACGAATCGCATCAGGCTCAAGATTTGAAGCTGGCGTGTCAAATAAGGCTCCAACAGAAGACAGCAAACAGAACCAATGTGTGTAAGGTATCTGTTGAAGGTAGCATGGTAAGAATAACCACCTTTCCCTGCTGGGATTCTCGTCACGGTGGCCCGCTCTGCAGGGACGTGGGCAACAACATGACTCATGCCATCGCTCGGGCACGCCAGCGCCTGCTCGCAGGCCGGGCGTCCTGTCGGAGCGAGGCCCTCAGGCTGACTCTCATAGCGCTTCCTCGGCTGACCCGTCGGTGCCTCGGCAGCTGCAGGCCGGAGGACTTCCAGGAGCCGTGCCTCCACCATGTCGACTAGGCGCTGGTCCTGGTCGCACCCGCCGTCTCTGTCAACGCTTCGCCGCGCCGCATGGCCCCACCGCTCGGTGTGCTGCGGAACGTGCTCCGGCGGCGGAGCCCAGGTGCCACAAGAGGGACAGTGCGGGACGTGCGCGCCGACCGGCATCCAGCAGGACGGACAGCACCGCACGCCGGGCAGCGTGCGGATGATGTTGTACATGTGCAGTTGCGCCGAGGCACATCCCTCAAGCTGCTCGTCGTGCTGCCAGTCAGCCGTGGCCTTGACGCTCTCTTCGAGAGCATCCACCCGGGTCGACAACTTCTCGACGTCAGCCCGCTCCACGGTCGGCCTGCAAGCCTTGCGAGCTCCAGCAGCCCGTCTCTGTGGCCGGCGTCGGGCAGCGGGCGATTCGTACCAGGCACTCCAGGCGGCGTCCTGCGGCAGATCTCCGCCGCGGCCGCGGTCACGATGAGCAGAGCTACCAATCCAGCGGCGCCCCCAAGAACTGTCGCCTGCGGCAGCCCAAGGCTGATCGCGGCGGGGCGCATACCCGCCACCCCAAGGATCGCCACTGACAGCCCACGGGTCGGCGCCGCGGCGGGCAGAGCCGGCCATCCCGTGGGGGCGGGGAGGAAGGAAAGGAGGAGTCCAGGAGAGCGAAGAGGACAGGACAAGGGGACGGCCGGCGTGCGCTGCACCTGCCCAGCTGGCTCGAGCCAGAGCTTGAGCCAAAGGCTTGAGCCAGAGGGCTACGGACGCTGGTGGGGATACGCGAAGCGTCAAGAATTCTCCTGGGACTTCGACATTTATGTGTAATGCAGCTGTGCTTCGTCGGCCCCCTCCGACCCTCCCTCTTCCTTCTAACAAACCCCCCCGGATGGTACCGCCAGACGGGTCAGGTGGGCCAGGGGTGTCGCCCGAGACTTCCTCACCATTCATGATGTACCTGTGAAATTCCACCAATTACACGGACGAAGGGAGAACTCCTTCAGAAATGCGGTGCTCGCCATAACTAGTTCGACGCAATTTCAGCTGAAACACTTCGAGCAACTACAAGTCTTCAGAACGGGACTTTGTCTGGAATGGCTGTCCTATCGGGCGTTCGTCTTTCAATAGGGCGCTTCCAGCAGCGACTGTGAAAACTTGATCGGGACTAACGAGGAGGGGACGTAGCACGGGAGGGCGCGTTGCAACATCACCCTCCATGGCCATTCCCCTCCAGGGTCCTCCGGAAACTTTCCGAGACTTCGGAAACCTCGAGGCCAGGTTTGGCTACCCCCCTCCTGCACAGGGGGGGGGGAAGGTGAGGGGCCCCCCTCCAACCTTGCAGCGACGGCGGAACACATTGTTCGCCAAACAGCTGTGCTGACTGTCCTGTGGTAAGATCTAGTTCTGTTGGAGGAGCGGGCGCCCAGAGACACCCTCAAAATTCTGAGGTGGTCAGGCCCGTCAACCTAGGGGGGAGGAGGGAAGAGGAGAGGGCGACGAGGTTTGAGAGGAGTACGAGGAGAGGAGGGGGAGGATGTGAGCGAGGAGGGGAAGGAGGGGGAGGTTTAGATGGGGGAGCACGAAGATAAATGAAACACACATCCTGCAAAGATCCCGTGTGGCCGTATTGGAGGCACCTTTGCCCTCGCCCCAGTCGGCCCCACCAAGGCGCGCGCGCGCGCGCTCGCGCGGGCACTCGGCGAAGACCGGCCATCGCTGCTCGAAAAGCCGCCTCAGCGCCAGGGGTGGTGGGGAAGAGGCGCGAAGAAAAGAGAGGGCGGATGATTGAGATCAAGGTTCGAGGATCGAGCGTCGAAGATCGAGGAGCGAGCGAGGACTGAAGTCGAGGTTCAATGAGCACCAGGGAGAGGAGGATCGAGGATAGAGGTTTGACAGGCGTGACTTGTTCTGGTTTATTTTTCCAAGGGAAGCTCCTTCTCGCCACGGCTGGACCGTTGTCGAAGGTCTCGTCGGAACGCGCTCCAGGACAAGTCCTTGGGCGACCCTGAAGCCCGAATCCTGGACATCGAATGCCCCAAGAAAGTCCAAACGACCCGGGATAAGAAATAAGCCCCAGGGAAGAGGTCGATACTTCCAATGGCCCCCATGTCACAACAAAACACTTGACGAAGCAGGGGTCTGAGCACAGAGGAAGATGGAGGGGCACACAGACGGGGGGGAGGATTGAGGACGGGCGAGGGGAGGGGACGAGCGACGGGAAGGGCAGGAAAACAAGGAGGGAAACGAAGGAGACATTCCCACCACACTCCTATCTCCCCCACATCGTTCAATGTCATCTTTCTTCAGATTCCTCCTCCAGCTCCCCCTCCCACTCTCCTCCTTCTCCCAGTGCTCGCCCCTCTCCCCCCCTCCTCCTGTTCCCAGTCCATCTTGCTCCCTCCACCTGCACATGCATGAATCATCGTCTTCCCCCTCCTCCTCCTCCTCCTCCTCCTCCTCCTATTCCTCCTAAGCATGGTCCTCCTCCCCCTCCCTATCCCATCTCCTCACACGTACGCCTCCTTCTCATTCCTTCTCGCGACCCTACTGATCATCACCTCTATAATCAACGATAATCATTACCATCATCATCATCAGCATCATCAGCATCATCATCATCATCAGCATCATCATCATCAGCGTCATCATCATTATCATCATCATCATTATCACCACCACCATCTGCATATTCATCTGCATCACCATCGCCATGACCATCAACATCCTAAACATCATCATCATCACCACCATCATCAAAATCATCAACATCATTATCATCATCCTCACCATCAACACCATCCTCATTGTCACCACCACCAACATCATCACCGCCACCACGAAGACAATTCCTACCACCAACGTCATCATCACCGTCATTAGCGGCATCATTGCCACCGTCAACATCATCATAGTCGTCACCACTACCACCACCACCACCGCCAGAAACAGCAACAACAGCAACGACAACAACATCAAACCATGATAAGACGGTTCGCTCGTTCCTGCCCGCGTGTCACTTACCACGTATATCCGAAAATCTCGGTGCCCGCCCTTTTCGTCATCGATGTTACCCCCTTGTGGGCATATCTTCCTTACCTGCCGCGTGTAATTGGCGCAGCCCCTAAAACAGAGAAAGAGAGGACGGATTGAAGGGGGAGGGAAAAAGATGTGGCACGAGAGATTAGCAGGAGGGGGGTCAGGGGGTGAAATCACGAGGCAGAAACAGCCGGGCGAATCGGGCGGGTAAACCCTAACGGCGGGTCGGGAAGGCGGGCCCAGGCGGACAGGTCGAGCAGGCGGGTTGTTAAAGCGTCAGAACTGCATGAATCGCGAGGAAGTCTCGTGCGATAAAGCGATTCCCCAATAAGTCGCGAAACCAAACACAAAAAACGAAAACGCGATTCCTGAGAGTCGAGTGCGCGGCGTCTGAATAAATTGCGAGGGAATCCTGCGCGAGAGCGCGACGCCTGCATACTTCGTGAAGAATGCCGGCGCGAAAAAGCGATGTTGAAATACACTGTGAGGAAGCATCTGGCGGGAACCGTTGATATTGTTACCGTTTCATTTGAAGAGCCCCCCTCCGGGCTCGCATCCAGGTTTCTATCAAAGGAAATCTGCCAGCTCAAACTATGCCCCTGGCCCCAAGTTTACAACAACAACGGTTCCCGCCTGATACTTCCTTCCCATATATTCCAACATTGCACTCTCGCGCAGAAATTCTTCATAATGTGTACAAGAATCGCGCTCTCGCGCGGGACTTTTTCGCACGTGATTCAGACGCCGCGCCCCCGACACTCAGGAATCGCGTTTCCGCGTTGGTTTCTCTCGCGGTTGACTTGGGAAGCGTGCTGTCGCTCGAGAGTGCCTCGTATCATGCAATACTGACGCTTCAGCAACCCGCCTGCTCGACTTGGCCGACTCGGCCCGCGTTCCCAATGCGGCCGCTGGGGTCTGCCCTCCCGTTTTGCCCGTCTGGTTCTGCCACCTGTTTTTGCTGCTCCTCGCCCCCGCCCCATACGACTTTCTCTCGTGCTCCATCCTTCCTCCCAACCCTTTTCATCCGTCCTCCCACTAGATGCGCGTGACAGGCAAAAAGGGTCCGCAAGGGTGTACAATCGAAGACGAAAAAGGCGGGCACCTAGGGCTTGGGATCTAATATCCTCTGGGTGGCCTAAGCATGTGGACATTCATTCGCGCCGAACTCACAAGCGCCAGCATAGGCGCCAGACATTCCTGCTGAGTAACAGCAGCAGCGCCGAACGGTACATGCGCTCGCTCTGTTGCAGAACAGCGCATCGCGCTGAGCGAAGCAATCGCGCGGGGTGGCAGGGCGGGCCACGAGGCAGCTGAGGATGGGATACCGCGCGGACAAACAGCACCGCTACGCGCTGCGTGGCACAGCGGCTCCCCGCGAACTGCAATGCGACAGCGCCGCGCGCTGCGTGACGGGACAACGCCGCGAGGTCCCAACTGGATCCCCATACACATCCACTCCGCGCGACCTCCCGCGAGCCCACGGAAAGGGCGACAACTGCGCACTTCGCAACCACGCAAGGAGCCGCGAGGTCTCAACTGGATCCCCGTACAACTCCACTCAGCGCGACCTCCCGGGAGCCTGCAAAAGTGGGGAGAGCCGCGCACTTCGCAACCCCCATGGAGCCGCGAGGTCCCAACTGAATCTACGTACCAATCCACTCGGCACGACATCCCAGGAACGCACGAAAGTGGCGACAACTGCGCAACTCACAGCCCCCAAGGAAGTCGCGAGCTTGGTCCGCGCGGAGCCCACGAAAAAAGGCGAGAACTGCGCATCTCGCAGCCGCGCAGGGAACCGCGAGGTCCAAACTGGGTTGTCGCGCCACTCCACTCCGCGCGACCTCCCAGGAACGAGCGAAAATGGAGCCGAATGCGCACCTCGCAGCCCTCCAGGTTCTGCCACCTGTTTTCTGCTCCTCGCCCCCGCCCCTACGACTTTCTCTCGTGTTCCATCCGCCCCCCTCCCCTTTCATCCGTCCTCCACTCTCCCGTTTTAGGGGCTGCGCTAGATGCACGTGGTAGGCAAGAGAAGTCCGCAAGGGTGTACAATCGAAAACGAAGAGGGCGGGCACTTGGGGCCTGGGATATGATACCCTCTGGGTGGCCCACGACACCTGGGGGCCCGCGCCAAACGCACGCGCGCCAGCATAGGCGCCAGACATACCTGCTGAATAAAAGCAGCAGCGCCGAACGGCACATGCGCTCGCTCCGCTGCAGAACAGCGCATCGCGCTGAGCGAAACAATCGCGCGGGGTGGCGTGGCGGGCCAGGAGGCAGCCGAGGATGGGAGACCGCGCGGACAAACAGCACCGCCACGCGCTGCGTGGCACAGCGGCTCCCTGCGAGCTGCAATGCGACAGCGCCGCGCGCTGCGTGACGGGACAGCAACGCGAGATCCCAACTGGATCCCCATGCACATCCACTCCGCGCGACCCCCCGCGAGCCCGCGGAAAGGGCGACAACTGCGCACTTCGCAACCACGCAGGGAGCCGCGAGGTCTCAACTGGATCCCCGTACAACTCCACTCCGCGCGACCTCCCGGGGGCCTGCAAAAGAGGGGAGACTCGCGCACTTAGCAACCCCTAGGGAGCCGCGAGGTCCCAACTGAACCTACGTACCACTCCAATCGGCGCGACCTCCCAGGAACGCGCGAAAGTGGCGACAACTGCGCAACTCACAGCCCCCAATGAAGTCGCGAGGTCCCAACTGGGCCCGCGCGGAGCCCACGAACAAAAAGCGAGAACTGCGCATCTCGCAGCCACGCAGGGGGCCGCGAAGTCCCGACTGGGTCCGCGTACCACTCCGCTCCGCGCGACCTCCGAGGAACCCGTGACCATGGCGACAACTGAGCACTTCGCAACCCCCTGGGAGCCGCGAGGTCCAAACTGGGTTGTCGTGCCATTCCACTCCGCGCGACCTCCCAGGAACGAGCGAAAATGGAGCCGATTGCGCACTTCGCAGCCCTCCAGGTTCTGCCACCTGTTTTCTGCTCCTCGCCCCCGCCCCATACGACGTTCTCTAGTGTTCCACCCCCCCTCCTTTCATCCGCCCTCCTTTCCCCCGTTTTAGGGGCTGCATTAGATGCGCGCGACGGGCAAGAGGGGTCCGCAAGGGCGTGCAATCGAAGACGAAAAAGGCGGGCACTTAGGGCCTGAGATACGATATCCTCTGGGCGGCCTAAGACGCGCGGAGATCCGCGCCAAACGCACAGGCGCCAGACATACCTGCTAAGCAACAGCAGCAGCGTCGAACGGCACATGCGCCCGCTCTGCTGCAGAACGGCGCACCGCGCTGAGCGAAGCAATCGCGCGGGGTGGCATGGCGGGCCAGGGGGCAGCTGAGGATGGGAGACCGCGCGGACAAAAAGAAAGAGGCGCCACGCGCTGCGTGGCAGAGCGGCCCCCCGCGAGCTGCAATGCGACAGCGCCGCGCGCTGCGCGACGGGACAGCGCCGCGAAGTCCCAACTGGACCCTATGCACATCCACTCCGCGCGACCCCCCGCGAGCCCACGAAAATGGCGACAACTGCGCACTTCGCAACCAGGCAAGTCCCAAACGGAGCTCCACCGACGGCCCTAGTGCTGCCGCCAGCATACTTCCCCCCACCCAATACAGCGCTTCGTGGCCTCGTAGGGAACTCCACCGAAGATCCCATCGCTACCGCATGCAGAAATCCCCCCCAACCAGCACAGCGTT